AATTACATTGAGTGTCAATTGTGCATGCTGTATCACCAATTTTATGTAAGTTGGTGTAAAACAAGGATTTCTAATCACAAAAGGCTTTCAAGCAACAGATTCCATTAAAGTGAACCAGAGCATGTGCATACATGTGCATTTGTGAGCATTTGAACATTGTAAAGCATTCGTTTATAACCAAGAAATTCAACAAACAAATTGCGGAAGAAACCTTAAAAAACAAGTTTACAATTACAAAATCATAAATCTCAAATTATATGTAGAAAAATTCGATGAAAACAAATTTACCATTCAATGAGTTTGGCAAAGGTGAGCTCAATGAGAGTAATCAGAGAATAGAGCACCCAGTAAGTAAGCCATTGTTGATCATCAACAGGAGACTTAGTCTCAATTGCTCTAACAGAGGCATATCTGTTAAAAGGACCCAAACCACAAAACCATCATATCATCTAGTCTGAACAATTAAACTTGTATATCAAATATTACATGTACCGACTTGCAGAATCAGAAACTAAACACAATTGAAAAACCTAAATAAAAGATAATGCCCCTTCAAAAGAAGGGAGAGAGAAGAAGTAGACGGCACTTACAGAGGGTAGACAAGACTAACCACAGGCCTACAAATCAAACCCAGAAGCTAAATTAGAATATAATGCCCAATATTTATAAGAACTTAAAAAAAAAAAAAAAAAATGAAGTCTTTTTTATTTGAATTTATAATGCCCCGTTTGTTCTAGAGTAGTTCAATATAGTATTTTTGGTGAAAATTTTTGAACTTTATGGTTCCACTAACTTCAATGCCTTAACGTTAGGTGCAAAAATATGATTTTTATACACTTATTGCTTTAGTTTATCAAAACTATTTCGTACAGTGGGTAAAGAGGACGAAGAAGAAAAATACAGCAAGCAAGAACATAAAATTTTATGAGAAATTATCTTCGCAGTTCCAGAAAACTTAGTGTGTTGTTATTAATACCTTAAAAAAATTCTGTTATAAAATATGTATATTTGCCAGATAACATCAGAAATAGATAACTGAGTAAAGTCGGAGAAAGAAGAAGAAACATACCCAGCAAGAATATCAAAGTTCTTAAGTATAACTTTTAAGAAGTTTCCAGCCCCAGATCCCATATCTGATCTTCTCAATCTCAAGCGTTTTTATTACCCTTTTATTCTTGTTTTGATCTGCAAATTTCAGCAGAAGTTTGTTTTTTTTTTTTTTTTTGTTCGTTTATTCTAGTGAGAGACTGTTGCGTTGTGTTGAGACTTGAGAGTAAGGGAAAAAGCAAACAAGTGATTAGAAAGCATTAAAGTAGTAATAAAGGGAAAAATAATTGGAGTCCCTGTATTTTGGAAAATAAAACTTTGGCCCAATAAAACCTGAAATTGATATTGTCATCCTAAACAATGAACAGAGATAAGAGGGTCATAAAATATTTTTTATGAAGAAGATAAGAATAGCAAAACAATAAATTTTGATTTTACATTTTAGTCTCCTTTATTTCATTTGAATAAGGAAAGAAAGGATAATTATACCGAAAAGTATGAAAACCATTAATAATAAGGTTCATTAATTAATTAGTAAGGATAAAAATGTCACTTTCCGATTTTAAAGGATCAAATATTTTTTTCCAAAAATTAGTGCCCCGAATGTAGTTTTCCCGTAGAATAAAACCTCAGATGAGGACAAAGTGAGTAGGGACAAGAAGGGAGGGTGGGCTTTGTTCAACAAATCATTACGTAATCCATCTGACTGAAAGGGACCATTTCTTTTACACGGAATTATTGAAGTCCCACACACACACACAAAATCTCTAGGAGGTTCTATTATAAAGAAAAACTATCCAATAGTTACATTACATTATTACCATTAATTCCTTCTTGCAATCGTGTCCTTGCAATTATTTGAGGAGAGGATATAATAAAACAGTAAAAGAACAGCTTAGCCTCCATCATTGACCCATTGATCTTCGCCCAAAGGGGCCAAGGGGTAGGTTTCTAATTTCTTCAGTTGCATCAAAATCTTCTATCAAGACTTGACCTTGGGCGAAAACGAAAACAAATTCCTGCGCCTCTTCGACCTGGAACTGGATTCTAAAAATGCCTTTATTCAATTGAGTGTTATGGACCAGAGTCAAGCCTGACTACATTAGTTATTCACATTTTGATATTATTGTCCTGACTAATTAGTTTTGTTACCAAAACATCAAAATCAACCGATCCACATCAAAAACAAATACACTAACCTACCATCATCCCATCTTGCAATATACACACCTAATTAACTAAGAAAGAAGGTGAAGAATGATCGAGTACAAATTACTGGACATAACTAACTTCATACGTCACTTGGAGCCTTGTTTCCACTACTGCAAATACTCTCCCCAAGGAGTTGGGAAGGCCACGAATCTGCAGACGTAGGGTACCTCGCATGAGGTTTGCTTACATTTGAAGCAGGTTTAGTTGAGAGTTGAGCAGAATCAGGTGTGGAATAAGCTTGGAGTTCAGGACGGATGGGAACAACATAAACAGCAGATGCTTGCTGCAAGGCAGGTTCTACAGCAGATAATCCATAGCTATCTCCAGGAAAATGTGATGCCTGAGATTCAGGAGGAGGTACGTTCAAGTCAGGTTTGGAGTGTGCTACCCTTGCTTCTATCTCACTTTGCAGCTTCTCAATCTGAGATTCTAGGGTAGAGTTCTCCTCCTCCAGTTCATTCTTCTCCACAGACACCTGCCCAACATTTCAAGCAACTTAAACGCACAGTGGCTGAAGAGAATGTTGCCATTAGTAAATATACAGGTTCCTTCTTGGTTCTCACAGAAAATAAATGAAGATAGAATATATGCAGAACCAATACAGAAAACCCAAATAAAATAAAATTATATATCAAATTCCGATAGAGCTTGCACATTGGAGAGGGAGGGCAGGTGAGGGAATTATCAGCGGAAAAAGGGCAGTGAAAATTACAAGGGCCTTACATATCGAGATTCAGACAACAAAGATGCATTCTCCTTTCTGAGTGAATCAATCTGACCAAACAAATCCTTCAACAGTCTGGTTGCTTCGCACAGTATTGAGGCTTTCCCACTGTTCTGCTGGTTCAGTTCTGTACAAGGGGAGTCCCTTAGTGAGATATAATCTGTCACCCTCTTCAAAATGACCTAGTCTTTAAAATTGAAACAAGGCTACTCATGAAGTAAAAACATTTATTGGCCTTTGGACAATTATGATGACAAGGAATGAAACAGGGCGGCAAACAAAAACATTTAAAGAGTTAAAAGTTACCAAGAGCATTGGCCAGGTCAATAAAAAGCTCGTTCAAATGCTCGCGCTTCATTTTCTCCCTTTCAGCCTTGTGAATTCTTCTAGGAGCTTTACCCTGATTCTTTTTGGTTGGACAAGGTCTGCACCACAAACAACTTTCAGACATCCAACTAAAATATAACAATTAACTGGTTTTAAACTCAATAAGTATCTTGTAACAACCCAAACTAGATGCTCCAGAAAAAGTATTTGCATCAGATTATTATTGAACTTTAAACCTTTTGCCCCTTGAAGGAGGTAGCAACAAGAGGTCATGTTTAAATGCCATGGCCATTTATAATACAATTCTCCTAAACTCTACAAAAGCTTTGAACTAGAAGCTACCCATCTTATGCTGCTTTAACGGGCTCTAAACATAAACCATAAGATATTACACTACATTTCCTTGTAAACGTTACAACCGTAACATCATAATACTGATTTATTTTCCAACTATCAAGATGTAACCCAATGACTACATATGGGGCAAGCAAAATAAACCAACTAAAATTAATTTTAAGATCTTTAATAACTAACCTGTCAATGGATGGATCTGTCAGCACATTGACCTCATCAACCAAGGGAGAAAGATCCTCTGAACCCATGACTATCTCAAATGGGATAAGGGCCTTCAGTAAAAAATCCCCTGAAATACAAACCGGTATCGATTCAATCTTTCAAATCCGTTTAATGAAAACTAACAAACCAAAGTACGCATTCAGCCACTCATTAAAGAAGAGAAAATATAATTACGGTACCATCATCGTACATGGGGATAGATTTACTAAACCTAGTTTTTTGGTTACAATATTTGCATAAATAATTCATTTCTGTAAGTGGCATAAACTAATTTACTTTTCCGAAAGGACGTTTATCAGTTCATAGAAACAATAAATTCGATAACAAAACAAACTGACCAAGACTTGATTGATACCGATTTCATGTTTAACAAACAAAATTACAAATATTTTTATTCTTTCTAACCATTTCCATAAGCTTTCTCCATCATTTTCTTACCAATAAATCAAGAAAACACAGAATTTAAAGATCACAAATATATTACCACCAAACGAAAACCCAGAACAACGAAATTAAAGCCATATACAAAAACCCTAGATCATAAGAAAAAAAAATAATAACAAAAAATTGTAAAAGAATACCTCTTGAATCAGCAGCTTAAGAAGAAAAACAGAAAAGAATTGACGACAGGAATGTGAAAAAAAAAATGAAAAATAAAAACCTAAGAAGAGGAAGAGGAGAATTTGACTTTAAATGAGAGAAATTTAACAAAAATAAACAAGAAGAAGACCTTGGAGTGTTGAAAGGCGTCGAATGTGTGGCGGGAGAATACGATACACAGGATGGCGCGTGTCAGCAACGGGCCACTTCGTTCAATGAACCAGGACACGTGAGGCGGACACGTGTTTTTATTAAATTTTCTATTTTCTTATTTATTTTTGTCGCATGCTGCGTGCCTGCCATTCGCTTTTTTCATTATGCACAACACGTCATCCAGAAACTAAACAAATTTCATATAATTTTATTTCAATTTATTTTTATTTTTTGTTTTTTATAATAATCTTTACCAATATGTCACATATTGTCACGTGCTTTCAAATTGTAAAGATAACGTAAGAGAGAAAGAGCGTGTGGCATCCACAGGGAAGCTAATTGCGTGCGTGCTTACGTACGATTGAAAAGAAAGAAAGGGACAAATTATAATACACGAGGTGGCAGTGGCACAACCCAAAACAGAGTATAACTAATTTATCAGTAAACTGCAAACTTTCACTATTAATACATGATTGAAGAGGCAGCCATTGTTGGAAAACTTTCTTTCTTGATTAAAATGAGCATGTAGTTTGGAATCTTCAGGGCTTTGAGCATCCCAGTGGGAACCTGCGAACCTTCATTCGTCCGTCCAAGGCGAGGGCCAGCAAGTCATATTCTTCCACATACCAGAGCTCAGACACCTTTGCCTGTATTCAAATGCAATCACGGTCAGCTATATATGATTCATGTCATTGTGTTTTTGCATGCAAAATAACAACTTACCTCAAATCCACGAATCTCGCTGTTTAGACGAGCAACTAGCTCATGGAAGAATTTGAGTTGATCTGAAGTATTTTGATGCTCCTGCACATGACACGTGATTGCAAAATCAGCAATTTGATACGATAATGTTTGTTTGCGGCTTAATCTGGGCTGAGGACATTATAAATGTCAAAAATGCTAGGACATTTGTCTAACTTCTTAGTAACGTTATAATTAGGAGTATCCTATAGTCAAAAGGTTATCTAGCAACAATGGCGTAGGGGACGGATTTTCCAGATGCTACGCCGAGTTAACTGTCACTATCTGGCTTTGTCACGGGACTGGCTATATCTTCCCCTCAAGTTCAACTTACTTCCATGAGGTACACTGTAGACTACATAATACCCTTCAAATATAATTTCATACCGAAAAAACCTTTCAATCTGTTAAGTGATTTCAGCCGGTGGTCTGAGATCAGAATTGCTCAAACGTTTCTGCAACCGTTTTCACATGTTCACATACATGTGAAAACAAATTCAACTTCATCAGAACTGACAGCACCTTATAATTTATATTTCACTAGCTTCGTTTAAAGCTAACACCAACTATTACTGCTCGACAACAGATATAAAGCAGCTCAGTTTTCCGTTCGCTAGTTTGCAATTCTAAAATCCTACATGATGTCAATCAGTGACCTATGAGGATAACTGAATGCAACAAACTAGATGATACTTTTATAGTACTACCATGGATGAAGCCGTAGGGTGACCCAGAAGCCTTGCAAATGATGTGTGAAGAATAGCAGCATCATACTGCAGCAGAAAGAAGATTAGTGAGTGCTTTCAAAATTCACAATTTTGATGGCAGTATAGCTAGGCACATATTTATCTTTTCCATTGCAATGTTCATATAAGGGAAGAAAATTTATCCAGTTATGATAAAAAAAATAGCACTAAATAGATCATCATGAAGCTATGACATGAGTTTGGGACCCATTAACAGAAATATATAACCGTTACAACTAAAACAAGATGAAAAACTATCATTTAGGACATGGTTTGAGTTCAGAGCAATACTGATAACTAGCTGAAGAAAAATTGCATAAGTAATAATTTAAAACGTGGATTTTTTTTTTTTTTTAAACAGAAAACTGTAGATTTAATGTTTTGTTAGATATATGGAAACAAAAAAATAATGAAAGTTATTAGCTACTTTGATTGAAGATTGACCCAACCATGCATAGCATAGTGCAGACAGAACATAAGAAACTTGGAGAAAGCTGATTAACGTAACAAGTTCCTTTCTTGTTTGGTGGGTGATTTGGATGAAAATATAGACGAAGAAAGGTTCCACAGAGCAGGAAAACAAATATGCATGTTTGTGAAGATTACAATCGTTTCCAAATCTTAGTGCAAATTTCCTTGTTTTTTAGCTATCCAACATTGCATGTCTGAACATTATATTTCACCATTTTCAGGCTCTTAAAGATTAAAACAAGCTTTTCACACTATTTCACAGTATATAAGATTTCATTTAGTTCTCACAAGCTGCTTTTCAGGTGCATGTGGAAGTGCAGTTCTCAGTTTAGCACGAACAGTTACAGGATCAGCTCCAGAGATCACCTACACCAAAAATTAGGGAATTAATGTCAAATGATAAATTAACTTTTAATATGATAGTTCCCAGTGAAATCTGGCACAACTGCCACTACACATTTAAGTCACACAGAATGGCTCCCTCATCCCTGGCACAAAGGTATCACTAAATGGTTAATCTTCCAAGAGAATAACTAACAAAAATGAGGACAATACACATCCATTATATTCAAAATGACATCAGGAAATGAAAGGAAAGAAATAACTTCACACATGTATATTGAAAGCTTAAATTATACATGAAGCTTTAGGTGAAGAAATCAAAAAATTGCCCTTCCCAAGGCAATAAGACGAAGGTAATTTATGTGCCCAACCTAGAGTGTTGAAAACAATGAGTTATAAGAATCTGATATCATACTTTCTTTCACCTAAAACCAAAAGAATTATATAATATATCATTATTTTCCCTTTCCTTTTACTTTTCACGTGTGAAAATTCCAAAACCATTAACACTGGCCAGTATCAATGCAACTTTTCTGAGTTGGAGATGATTTGCATGAATCTGATCCCAACTCCACCCAGCATCCAGAGTAATTGTTTTGACAAGTGAATAAGACAGAAGAAGGTAATTCCAAAGGTTTCAAATGATAACTTCCACCCAAGTTACAGACGATAAAGCTTCCACGTGACAGTACCACATACAGAATGCAGAAGTTCAATTTCTTTCCAGAGACATAATTTCCATAATGTTCGTTGTTGCTCCTGTTTTATATTCGTTTACAAGTGCATGTCTGTCACAGAGAGAGAGAGAGAGAGAGAGAGAGAGAGAGGTAGGACAGTAGGGAAGAAAGTAAGAGGAGAATATAAGTTAGAGAAAGTAACCTGCCAGCAACCCAGAAGCACACCAGTTGAAGTTAAAACCACCCTGTCCAGGACAATTTTTAAAGGACAGAGGCCCTCTGCCACAGCTCTAACAGCAGCTGCTTCAGCTTCAATCTAACAAAACGGAAAAGGATTCAAAGTTTAGATCAAAACCCAAGCAAGAAGAGTTAAAAGCATAAAAGAGATATCAGAACTAGCTTAAACAGGCAACATACCTCATCTTCAGTGGCAGGAACAGGTGAAATATGATGGGAGGCATGAAACATGCTAAAATGGTACAAACTTGAATTCTGAAACCAGATCGCTAACAAAGATACATGTAAGCATGCCAAAAATGAGGTAACAAATAAATAAAATTGAAAATTCTACTCAATGAAGTGGAAAAACATAATACTATGTATTATCCTATGCAAGAAATTATTAATTAGCCCCAGAACATAGATTTACAGAAACAAGATTCATGTGAAAAAGTCGGCTTTATAGCAGCTTACCTTTATAAAAATGTGGACTGAATATACGTTTTACAGCCTCTCTGCAGCAAGAAGAGCATCAATGTAAAATTTAAGCATCAAACTGTCACAATGAACTAAGAAAATATATTACAAAAAAGTTACTAGGTCAAAAGTTCCAAAGACATCCAAACATTCATGCAAAGCGCAAAATATAAATATATCTCTTAATTTAATTTCAAAAACTGGAGCTCAAATGTATTTCCTGCACTCAGTGTCAAAGTGTGCAATCATTGACAAAAATCAATCATTTATATTTCTCAAAAGAAGTAAAATCAAAATCCTAAGGAAGGGTTTCATGATAAAAAAAAAGGATGTTTTTTCTGCTGTTTAAGTTCTTGAGTACATTTATTCAATCACACAAAATGTAGCTCATGCATATATAAATATAATAAAAAAAGACATAGTAAATCACAATATCAAGAATAACAAAATAATGCTTACGAGATATGCACTGAGTACTCTGTGCTCATATACAAAACATTTGCTCGTACAGGAGGATTTGCTGCCTGAGAAACAGAAGATGAGCCATCATTGACTTATAAGATATCCAGAAATAGCCATATAAATTAAGCCTGCAACTGAATTCACTTATATGTTACCTTAAGAACAGGTGTTACAGCTCCATCTTTGAGATTGAAGATGTCTGAAAGAGACAATGACTGAGATGTTTCCCCTTGCTTCAGGAAAACTGCTCCATGTTCATCCAAATCCCTTGCAATCTTATCATACAATTTTGTCCTCCGCTCCTCATTTGCAATATGAGAATCTGATAAAAACCATCCATAAAATAAGCATCACCCTACTATTTTAGTCCAGTAGCAGCGCACGCATAATTGAATTCCTTCATATGCACTGCAAATTTTTAACTCAATAAAAACTCTAATTAAAAACAGGTCTGTACTCTTTAGTCAGAATCTTAATTAAGAATTTTCGAGATTCAATCCAACCGTAAGACTGGCCATAAGCTTGGCAATTATATAATTGTCATCGAATTATAATCTTAAACCTCGAAAAGGTCTCCACCCTAAAATTCTTCCCTCCAATAAAACAATTACTTCCAGTTATGTAACGTCGGTCTGATACTAGAAACACGACATTTAATGGCGCTTCCACTCAAGTCCTGATCATACATGGATATAATACACGGGCTTGTCACAATTTAAAAATAAATAAAAAATCATTTTTCATAGGCAAAACCCTTTACAGATCAATCACAACGAGATCTTATAAGCTAATAAACAGAAAATTTTCAATTATTCCCTATAAATTCTCAGTGACCAAAGAGAAGAAGAGAAATGACCTGAAACAGAAGAAGGGTAATTCTGGAATGAATTATTGAGGGCCATGTGGAACAAAGAGTAGAACAAGACGAGAGAGATAAACCAGATGAAAGCTACAGTCTTTGAATGACTCCACCAAATTCTAACCCTTGCCATCAACATTATCTTTTCCTGTTTTTGATATTTTAAGTAACAAATGATGCCATTAAAATCTCATAAAAGAATATTAATGGGATTGATATTTTGAAACGTGTAGTGAGGAACGGGACATGACGATTGAAAGCATTTTGTTTGGTATTAACTTTACATCACCAAACCTTATTCTTTTTGTTAAATGTGGAAGCCTGAAAACAGCGTCGTTTAAGTAACTCTAATACGGCGTCGTTCAGGTGTATTAAATTGGGCAAATACAGACCACAGGATTCGTTTCAAATTGGACGGCCAGGATCACTCACAGAGTCAACCATATATAAGCGCATGATACAGTCATTCTCGAGAGAGAGAAAACAAAAAGGAGGCTAGGGTTATTCTTTGAGTCGGCTATTGTCTCTGTGTTAGGGTTCAGATTCAATTCCAGATTGTGAGTATCAGTCGAGTGATTAGGGGCTTTAATCATTCAGGTGAGAGTGTTGTTCTCTCGGGTTTGGGATATTCTTAGAGTATCTTGTAAGGCTGAGTGCTGTTGTAAAACGGGTAGATCTGGTGAGTGGAATCTGTGTAATCTTGACTGGTTTCTGGTAATCGAAGTGCAGCGAGCTCATACCTTTCTTGAGCTCAACGTGGATGTAGCTTATCCATAAAAGGATAAGTGAACCACGGTAAAGTGTGATGTGTTCTGTGTGCTTGATATCTGTGGTATTTCTTGTGTTTTGATTTGATGTGTGTTTGATTAATCAGTTCTTGCTACTTAGGCATAACAGTGGTATCAGAGCCATTTTTTTCTTGAAAGTGAATTTTTCGTGTTCAGAGAAATTTAGGGTTTCACGAAAAATTAGGGTTCCTAAATTAGGGTTTTCTTTCTTTCTGAAATTGGGGTTTTTTTGAGTATCTCAATTAAGGCCTAGAGAGTCAATCCTGATTGAGTGTGAGGGTTAACGGTGGAATACCAGTGACCGCCTTAAAAACTGCATAGCAGTAATTGGCATGACTGTGGTGTAACAACGCCTCGTACGCCTCAGACTCAGTTTCTCTGTCATTGTTTCGGTATAAATCGTTCTCTTACGAAATTAGGGTTTGTGAATTTGGGAATTTTGTGTTAAAGAAACAGAAATTAGGGTTTCACAAAGTTAGGGTTTCAGAAATTGGGGGTTGTGGATTGTTTACTTCTTAAGTCTAGAATTGATTCTAGAGAGTCATAACGTGATAACGTGTAAGGTATATCGGCGGGAGCCAGTGACCGCCTTAAAAACTGCATAGCAGAAATTGGCAACCGCTGGTGTAACAACGCCAAGTACACCTTAGACTTTCTTTTCTTTGTGTTTCTTTCTCTGTCATTACGAAAAATGAGCACCACCAGAATGGAGATATCCCAATATGATGGGAAGATCGACTTCGGCAGTTGGAAAAAGAAAATGAAGGCTCTTTCTCACATAACAAAGTCTCAATTGCACTGGAAAATGATCTCAAGAAATGGTCAGAGGAGAAACTGGCAAAGAAGGAAGAGATGATGAAGAGGCTTATAACCTGATCGTGATGAATCTTTGACAGTGTTCTTCGGAAGGTAGATGGATTCGAAACTCCTCGTGATTTATGGGGTAAATTAGAATTCTATATGCTTACAGTCTGCACCGAATTTGGCTTTTCTAAAGGGAGCCCTATTCTCTTATAAGATGGATAATTCGAAGTCCATAGAGGAAAACCTAGATGAATTCCTCAAGATGAATTTAATCTTAAAGGGTACAGACCAAGAACTAGGACAAACTAGCCTTGCCATGATATTATTAAATTCCCTAACTGAAGACTACCAAGTAGTCAAGAATGCCCTCAGTACTCCGGTACTGTACCCGGTTGATCTGATAGGCAGGTCTAAGGCTAGAGAGTTAGAGCTCAAAACCTTAAGAGAAATAATAGCACTCTGTTTGTAAAGGGTAGAATAGAAACTGCCAGCCAGATATAAAGGGTTCCAATCGAGTCAGGGGGGTAAGAACAAGAAGAAGTGGAAGGGGAAAAACAAAGCAAAAACTGAAACTAGGAAGTGTTACCATTGCAATAAGACAGGCACCTGAAGAAAAAATGCTTTGAGTGGGAGAAAAAGCAGAAACTAGGTAACAGAGAAAGCAACCTAGCTCTAATAGTAACCAAATGGATGAACCTGAAGTCCTAACAGTGTCAATATCGACACTGCAAAGGAAAGGGTACAGACTCTGGTTGTACCTTCCATATGAGTCCCAATAGAAGTTGGTTCCAAGACTTTGAGGAGTCTTCATGAGACTGTGTATATGGGGAACAACCAAGCTTGTAGGTTAAGGGGATAGGATGCATTACCTTAGGCTAAATGGGAGGAAAACTAATAAGGTTGACCAAAGTCAGATATATACCTGACTTAAAGAGGAACCTCATATCACTAGGCACCTGGATGAAGCAGGCTGCTGCTATAAGGCTAAGGTGGGTGGTTGAATGTTTAAAAATGAGAACTTGGTGTTGACAGGAGAAAAGAAAAATGGGCTATATGTGCTTTGTGGTAGCTTTTACTCTGAATGCAACACACACACTGGGTCTCAAAAGTTATCAGTAAATGAAAAGTGGCACTGAGATAGGCCATATGAGTCAGAAGGGAAGGATACACGAACAGACTAGGACAATTTGGAAAAGATCTGTTACAGCATAGAGTTGTGAAAGTGTGTACTTGGTAAACAGCACAGAAATAGTTTTCCTAAGGGAGTTCACCTGCAAACAACTGTTGGACTACATACATTCTGATTTATGGGGTCCAGAAAAGGTTAAGTCTCATGGAGGAAACAGCTATTTCCTTTCTATAGTTGATGACTTCAGTAGGAAGGTTTGGGTTTTCCTATTAGATCAAGGACAAGCTCTAGCAAAGTTCAAAGACTGGAAAGCACTAGTTGAAAATCAGTCTGGCAGAAAGGTGAAAGCCCTTAGGACACGACAATGGGCTTGAGTTTTGTAATCTGGAGTTGATAAGTTTGCAGTGAACAGGGGATCCTGAGACATAGGACAGTGAGAGGTACACTCAGCAAAACGGGGTAGCTAGAGAGGATGAACAGAACAAGCTAGACAAAGTAAGATGCCTCTTGATCACTTCCAACCTACACAAAAACCTTCTGGGGAGAAGCCCTCTCCACAGCTGCCTACTTAGTAAATAGGAGCCCTTCCTCAGCATTAAACCTTATCAGTCCAGAAGAAAGATGGACAGGGAGAAGACCAGAACTAGGGCACCTAAGAGTGTTGGCTGTGCTGCATATGCACACACAGTGGGGGGGAAAACTGGAGCCAAGATCACCAGATGTGTGTTCCTAGGATACCCTGAGGGCACAAAGGGGTACAGGCTATGGGACAGAGAGTCACCAGGGGTCAGGATCTTAATAAGCAGGGATGTGGTGTTTAAGAGGGAGTATTCCCATGCAAAGGCACCAACCCTAATGAGGAACAAACAAAGTACAGAAGAAAATGCTAAACAGACCAATACCACACAGATTGAGGTGGAGCATAACAACCCATCAAGATCACCACCTCAAACACAAGGCCCAACTCCCCAGCTACCTGAGGAACCTGACCAGGCTGAAGATGAGAGAGAAGCAGAAGAATTCCTAGAACCACAACAAAATGACCTGACAAACTACCAATTGGCCAGAGACAAGAACCAGGAGAGAGTAAGACCACCATCAAGGTAATCATATGCAGAACTAATATATACTGCTTTACTTGCAGGTAAAGAAGTACTTAGGTCTGAACCTGAGACCTATCAAGAGGCCATGGAATCCAAGGAGAGGGACAAATGGAAAACAGCTATGGAGGAGGAAATGCAGTCCTTAAAGGTAAATGAAACTGGACATTGGTTCCAAAACCTGCTAATCAGAAGCTGACCCAATGTAAGTGGTTGTTTAAACTTAAAGAGGGGATATCCATAGCTGACCCACCAGGTACAAAGCCAGACTTGGGGTAAGGGGTTTACTCAAAGAGAGGGATAGACTTTAATGAAGTCTTTCCCCTGTGGTAAAATACAAAAACATTAGGGTAATGCTGTGAGTAGCTTATCAAGACCTAGAACTAGAGCAGTTGGATGTCACCACTGCATTCCTTCATGGAACTTTAGAGGAAAAGATCTATATGAGCCAACCCATGGGTTTACTGACCCAAAGTTTCCTAACCATGCCTGCCTGTTAAAAAGATCCCTGTATGGGTTAAAACAGTCCCCTAGGCAATGGTACAAAAGGTTTGACACCTTATATTAGGCAAGGATTCACTAGAAGCCAATATGATAGTTGCTTCTACTTTAAAAGGATGATAATCTGCCTATTACTTGCTTTTATATGTGGATAATGTTGTGATTAGGAAGTCAAAAATCTTAATCGTGAATTGAAGAAAGGCAAACACTGAGTTCAGCATGAAAAACCTAGGCAGTGCTAAGAAAATTTGGGCATGGAGATAAACAGGGATAGAAAGAAATGTGAACTCAGACTGCAGCAACAGTCTTATTGCTAAACTAGTCCACAAAGTTTGGCATGGTGGTGCCAAAGGTCTCAATGCCCCTTACCAGTCAGTTTATCCTAGCAAGTCTCAATGCCCCAAAACTGAGTTAGAACTGTTGAAAATGGAGTCTGTTCCTTATGCAAATGTGGTGGGGTCTTTGATGTATGCCATGATTAGCACTAGACCAGAACTAGCTTTTTCTATTCTATGTAAGGAGGTATTGTCCAATCTGGAATGGAACATTGGACTGCGTTAAAATGGATGTTAAAGTATATTAACAGTACAGTTTGTGTAGGTCTTGTTATTGTAAAAGAGATATTGCACTTGATCTGGGTGGTTTTGTAGATGCTGACTTTGCAGGTGATAAGGATTCCAGAAAATCCACAACTGCATACTACTTACATGGGTGGAAATTGTATAAGCTGGAAATCACAGTTGCAGCCAATTGTAGCACTGTCTTCAACAGAATCAGAGTACATAGCAGTCACTGATGCTGTTAAAGAAGCATTATGGTTGAAAGGAATTCTGACAGAAGTAAAAATAATTGATGGAAAGGTTACAGTGTACTCAGACAGCCAGAGTGCAATCCACCTAAGCAAGAATCCGGTGTATCACGAAAGAACAAAACACGTGGATGTTCGTTACCATTTTGTGAGGAACCAAGT